CAATGTTTGGCCCAATAGTGGCCCATTTCCATTGTGAGGCTATGAAGACCAGCGATCCATAAGAATTGCAAACATAGCCATCAGCTTTCCAATTGCAGAGTTGCAAAAATAGCCCAATTTGTGTGACCCATTTCCTCATCAACCAGCCCAATGTCTCATTAGTTTTTCTAGCCCACTTTAGCAACATAATCTCTTTACAATTACAGCGTAATTCAAGAAGTCCCCGCATTCTAACTTGCACATTTAGCCACATTTGTTGAATCATTCTCATTGAACACGTGTTGTCACCAGTTAAAGCCCTCATTTGCTCATTTCCTGTCGTTACACTCATTGTATCCATTTTAGTCCACCTACTTCTATCATTCTGCCCATCTCTTTCCAAATTTTCTTCTCTAAAGCTCATCCTTGTTCTACTGTTATCGATCTTCTTGTTTCCCTCCCCAATTGATGCATCTTGGTTTCCTGTTGCTGCTGCATGTAAATGCTTTGTACCTGAAAGTATTCCAGCTGAATCTGGTCTACTGCCTCTAGATTGAGAAGATTGGCCAGCTCGACGATTGGATGTATTGCTCAAATGCCTTCCCTGATTAGCTTTCCGTGTGTTGCATGTTGGTGCTCCGGTCAAAATTGCTGAAATGCTGCTCAGATTTCCTTGTCTATGCCAGTGGATTTTGTAAAATGTTTTAAGAGTAACAGTTTTCTCTTCCTCTTTTCGATTTACTTTTTGTTCCTTCTCTGATTTTTGCTTTGAGTGTGCATATGAATTCCTGAAGAATGATTGAATCCTTGTATGTTGTAATGTGTATCTCTGTTTATGCTTAATTATTTGTTTCCACATGTGCATCATCCAGCTAGATTCCTTTGAGATTGAAAGTAGTTTTGCTGTCTGTTGCTGTTGCTGTAATGTAATTCCTTGTCTTTTGAGGAAATTTATACTTGTGCTATTGTTTAGATGTAATTTTAATCCATTAGAATGAATGCTAAGAATTAATAGCACCAATTGAATCTCCATTACACCATAGAACAATAGCAAAGCCCATGTACCTGCAAAAAAAAACAAACTAAGTTAGGTAAAATAATCACTATGCTCTCTTCCCAAAAGATTTGAGCATAATGACCACATGAATGGCCCCCTGAGTATTCTCTGATCATCATATCCTCCTCCCTAAGGATTTGAATATAATGATCTGCAGTAACATGAACTCTAGGACCTGATACCACCCTTTCAAGTTGCATCAAATAAGAGATCATGTGTCCTATAGTTCTTTCTGCCAAATAGATAAAATCCCTGATCATCATTTCCTCCTCCCAAAGGATTTGGATCTGGTATTCTGCAATATATTCTTGTGTAACTCATTCCCTGATTCCACATGGTTGTATCTTTAGTTTTGTAGTCTTCAAAATGTTCCTGCTCTTCTTTTGTAGATTGTGCATGGATGCACTTTTTGAGCAGGCTCTTGATTGCATTGTTCCAGTAGTTAATGCAGTATTTTCTACTGATAGTCCTCCATCTACCCATGTTATCATAAATTGATATTTCATCTTGGGGCTGAGCACCTAGTGCTAATACCACACATGGATGATTTACCAATATATGCAGCATGGGTATATTGCCTGTTCCTGCAAAAAAGAAAATTGTGTTAGTTAAAAATATGATCTTCGTGATCTCCTTCATATGAATTTGACCACAGAGATGGATCTTATCTCCTGTTCCCTTATTCCTCCCCTCCAGAAAAACTATTATACTCTCCTCACAAATGATTTGAGTATAACAGTCTATATACTTGACTCCATTAGTTGGGCTACCACCTCTCCACCTTGTTGTCCCTTCTCCTTCTACTTTCCTGCAACTTTTACTCTTATGTATGGGCATCTTGACTTGTCATCATTCACTATTTTCCTCCCTTGAATATCCAGTTCCCAGAAATTGTGTGCCTCAATATCCCCAGACTCCAAAGCATAATTAGCTAGATGGTCAGCTAATCTATTTCCTTCTCTAAATGTGTGAGACATTATGACATTACTCCTGTTCATCCACTCCTTTATCTCTTCAACTTCTACAGCAATATTCCATGGAACAGACCACTCTCCTTCTAAAACCTTCTTTAGTAGCATTGAATCTGTATGTACTTCAAGTAGGATATACTCATTCTGAACACAGTATCTCATTGCCTCCAACATTGCCATTGCTTCTGCATAAGTGTTTGTGCCTTCCTTTATTTTCTTGCCACAAGCATATATGACATCCCCCTCTTCATCTCTTAATACATAGCCAATAGCACTACTGCCAGGATTACCCCTAGATGCCCCATCTGTATTTACTTTTATCCATCCTTCATTAGGACATTCCCACAGTACTTTGGAATATTGCAGCACTGGTGTATAATTCTCCATCATATTAAGCAAATCTGGCCATTTATGTGGAACATTCTGTAACCCTGGCTTCCTGAGCTTTACTAAAGACTGTAGAGTTGATAAAATTTGGTATATAACTCTACTAACTGTGACTGCCTCCCCATATTTGAAACTAGTCCTTCTCTTCCATAGTTCCCAAACAATCACAGATGGTAAAGCTTGAAAAATAGGTTGGAGTCTAGGAATTACACCAGCAGTCCAACATTTGATCACAGCTTGATGTAGAGAAATTCCATCTGTTGATATTCTTGCACATCCCGGAAAATATTTCCATACAGATATAGCTGGCTTTGAAGTGTAGAACAGATGCTGCATAGTTTCTTCTTTTGGTTCTGCACAACACCAACATTTTGATGCCATCAAATATCCAAGACTTCTGAAAAATTCATCCAGTGGTAATTTGTTTCTCCACATCTTCCACATAAAAAAAGCAATCTTAAAAGGAAGACCTTTCACCCAAATCTTTCTATAAGCATTACAAGGCTCACTTCTTTTTCTCACATATTCCCAAGCTGACTTCACAGTGAAATCCCCTCTTGTTTCTAGCATCCATACTGGCTTATCAATAACATTATCAAGTGTTGGAGGCTTCAGGTTCTGCAAAATATGATCTGCAATGTCAGTTGGTAGAATACTTCTGAGAACCTCTTCATCCCATTGTCCATGCTGCACTACTTCATATATGTTTTGAATAGATTCATCACATATAAAATCTGGTGGGATGACAAAATACAAAGCACCCAGCCCTGTCCAATTTTCAAACGAAAATAAAGCTGATCCCATCTTAGGCTGCCATAAAATTTGATGCTCTATTAGATGTCTGCACTCTAAAATTTTTCTCCATACATGAGAACCTTCTCTCCAAGGCACCACCATAGGATTGAGCTTTTTACAGTATTTTTGGCTCATAAATGAACTCCACAGGCTTGGTTTTGTTCTGAAATTCCACCATATTTTGCAAAATAAAGCAGTAGACAAATGAACCGCACTCCCCCTTCTTCACAAGGTAAACATAAAGTGGTCCAAGAAGCCCAGTGCCTGTTTGATACACCTACTGTATTACCCCAAAAGAATTGTGCAAAAATCTTATGAAGTCTATTAATCACATATGCTGGGGGGTTTACTGCAGATAGAAAGTGTATAGGCATACTTTGAAGCATACTTATAATCAATACTGCCCTTCCACCTATAGATAACAACTTACCTTTCCAGCTCTGCAACCTGTCCATAACCTTAGTAATGATGTCCTGATAATAATTCATTCTTCTCCTGAGATAAAAAATTGGACACCCAAGGTATGTAAAGGGAAACTCTTGTTTAGGAATTCCTGTAATCCTTTGCACTTTATCAACCACTTCTGCTCCAGCTGATTCATGCAAATATATAGCTGACTTGTTCTTATTGATTAGCTGACCAGATGCAGCTTCATAGTCTGTCAATACCTCCATTATAAGCCTCAATGAATTAGCATCAGATGATGAAAAAATGATGGTATCATCAGCATATGCTAGATGATTGATCTTGGGACTCCATTTAGGCATTCCAAAACCACAGAATTGTCTATTACTATGCAGTGCATTCAACCCCCTTGACATAGCTTCTGCAGCTAATATAAATAGAGTAGGTGATAAAGGATCACCCTGCTTCACACCCCTAGTTGATCTGAAAAACCCATTAGGCTGTCCATTGATTAGTACTGAATACCAGTTGTTAGATACAACTCCAAAAATCAGACCAATAAACCTTTCCCCAAATCCCATCCTTCTTAACACCTTTGATAGAAAAATCCAAGATAGTCTATCATAGGCCTTCATCATGTCCAGTTTTAACACAACATTAGGTCCTGCTTTGGTTCTTAGTCTGATATCTGTCATTATTTCTTGAGTTAAGAGTATATTTTCCACTATGCTTCTCCCTTTGACAAAACCAGCTTGTTCTTCAGAACTCAAACTTGGTAACATCTCCACTAATCTTTCATGAATCACTCTTTGGAAGACTTTGTTGATAAAATTACTGAGACTTATTGGTCTCATGTCAGAAAAAGTTTCCACCTGCTTCTTCTTTGGTAATAGAACCAAGTTTGTGTGTGTTATATATCTAGGTAATTCATGTCCATTGAAAAAAGCCTGCACCATAGCCACAATATCTTTTCCAATTATCTCCCAACATGAATGAAAGAAAGCACCTGTGAAGCCATCAGGACCCCCTGCACTCTCTCCATTTAATCCCATAACTGCAGTTTTGATCTCCTCTTCTGTAGGTTGCTTAATTAGCTTCATGTTCTGTACACTGTCTATTAATGTGGGCACATAATCAAGGATCCTGAAATTTGTAGGTACTGTATCCTCATGGAATTGATTTTGAAAAAATCTCACAGCTTCATTTGCCATATCAGTAGTGTCTTCCAACCAATTGCCTTCTGAATTTTTAATTCTTTTTAACTGTAACCTCTTTCTTCTGCCATTTACCTATGCATGAAAGAACTTTGTATTCCTCTCACCATCTTGAAACCAGTTCATGCCAGCCTACTGCTTCCAAAACTCCTCCTCTAGGGTTAAATATCTGATTAATTTAGCTTGCACCTTCTATAGCCTTTGTCTTCTTTGAAATGTAGGATTTCTTTCAAACTCAGCCTCATGAACAATTACCACTTCTTCCAAACTTGCAATTTTCTGAAATATATCCCCATAGGTGTTCCTGCTCCAAGCTGATAGGGCCTTTTTTAGTCTCTTTAACTTCTGATTGAACATGTAAGATGGATCCCCAACAAAATCAACTCTCCAGTTGTCCTCGACCACATTCTTAAAAGTAGGATGCTTTATCCAAAAATTAAGGAATCTGAAAGCCTTCTTTATTAGTATTACATCAGAGCTACATGTTAAGTGCATAGGACTATGGTCTGATCCTGTTTATGATAGGTGATTGACCTATACTGTAGGGAACATATGTTGAAATTCAAGATTTGCATGGCATCTGTCAAGTCTCTTAAAAATGCAATCATCTTCAGCTCTCCCATTCCACCAAGTGAATATGCTGCCTTTAAAGCCTAAGTCTGTGAGGTTACATGTGTTAACACAGTGTCTAAAGTCATTAACTTCATTTATTGATACTGGCAGTCCCCCAAACTTCTCCTCTTCATCCCAGATAACATTGAAATCCCCAGCTACAAGCCATGGTATTGTCATGTCTCTAGCTAAGTAATACATGTTGTCCCATAGTTCAATCCTTTCAATGGGATCACACATAGCATATACAAATGTGACAATGAAAGATATCTGAGTATCCATGTTGGTCAGCTTCATAGTCAGCTGTTGTTCTAAATTAATCATTACATCCACCCCATGGTCCTCATCTACAAACACCCAAATCTTATTTGAAACATTAGCAAAAGCCTGTAGAAAACCAATCTTCCTCGTATATCTTTCCAGTTTTCTAGGATTTTGCATTGGTTCCATGATTCCAATGAATTGACAATGCTGTTGCCTTTGCATATTGACAAGCCTTTCAAAAGCATTCTTTGTGTTCACTGACCTCACATTCCATATAATAGCATTCATCATTAATTGTGAGATTTAGAGAGGGTTCTTCTTGTTTGAACCCCAAGAACTTGACTTTGAATCTCCTTTTATGCCTTTTTCTTATCTCTTCCTGCTGATCTGCCTGTATCTAACTGTCTAGGTGAAAGATCACCTTGCCTTGCCACATTTTTAAAGTTTTGAGTTGTTGATTCTTCATCAAGATCCTTTCCTGATTTCTTTATTTCACCTTCAAGTTTTGCATGTTCCTTTGATTCTGTCAGCTTCAGGTGTATACCAGTTGAGACCAAGGCTGCAGAAAATTTATCCTGACTTTTGTTTGTTGCATTAACTATTTGCTTGCTTGCACTTGCTGCATCTGTATTCTCACATGACTGTATAGAATCTGAAACTCCTAAATTGGCCTTCTCCATTCCAATCTCTGTTTGCACCAATGCAATTTGACCCTCTGCCTGCTCCACCACTAAATCTGTTCCTCCAGCTTGTTTTTCAGCAGGTATATTAAGCTTATCTGGAGGTATGTCCTTGCTAGGATTAGGACCTACACATATTTGCACAACTTCTCTATTAGCTCCTTTTTGGCATCTATCACCTTGATCACAATTTTCCTCCATTCCTTAACTTTGTTCTATTTATTGGTTCCCCTGCCCTTTATTATTAACTCTTTGCTATTCCTGATCATTTTCTTCATCGGATGATTCCTCTTCTCAAATAGCACCCTCTGGTAATTCACCTTCCTCTGGATCTTCTTCAACCTGTTGGCTCCAAATTTTTCTACCATCTAGTTGCAAGTTCCCATTAACATTAGTCAACGTTAAGGTTGCATCTATCTCAGTAGCTTGGGATGGAATCTCCTGGCAAGATTGATTAGTTGCAACCAAATTTTCATTGAATGTTCTACTCACCCATGTGGCTGTTGATTCTTTTTGAGCACCTTCCACTATTGCCTTCTCCTTGTCATTAACATTCCCCTCCTTAACTCTTCTTGATGTGCTCTCAACTCCAGTAGACTTAGGAGTAAATACAGCTGCTGTAGGATTTAATTTCTTAGGTGCAGGAATATTATCTGCTAGAATTCTTGCAGGACTGTTGTCCTCCACTACCACCAATTGGTTGTTTTCTTCATTAGCACCATCCTGATCCTCTAATGCTGCAAACATATTAGTTGTTTGAATTGGTTGATTAGCTACTATACCATCTGAGACTACTTCCTACCTTGAACTTGCTTTTTCTTGCTGATCATTACTATTAACTGGGATAATTTCTTTTCCCATTGCTCCATTACTTTGCTGAGTATCAGTAGAAATTTGAACCTGCTGCTCAGAATTAGTAACAGGAACTAATTCCTTTCCAGTAGATGTTTGGTTAATCACTTGTTTGCCATTCTTCCTCATACGATTATCCCTTACTTCCCTCCATTGCTCACCATAAGTATTCAAGTTTCCTACCACTTTTCCACTAGTTAAAATCATTAAAGGTTGATCAACCTGCTCCTTATTCTTCTCCTTATTAATTGCAGCATTTTGATTATCTTGATCTTGAGGAAACAATTCCGGATGCAATCTCCAACATTCAACATATCATGTCCTTGAAGCCTACATTCCTTACAATATTTTGGGATCATATCATATTTAATATTCACCCATTCTACCCTTATTTCTCCAGTAGCTTCATTAAGAATGTCCATCTTTACCTTCTTAGGATGATCCTCTAACAGATTAACCCAAACTTTGACCCTAGCACAACTAGGTCGAGTTTTGTTCACTGTGGCCATATCAAGATGAATTGGTTTTCCAACAGCTGAGGCTAGTGAAAAAAGGCATTCCTTCACAAAATATGTAGGTAATAAACCTGGAAAAGAAATCCAAGCCATAGCCATTGGAGTCTCCTCTCCTACTTTGAACTTGGCAACATATATGAGTGGACGTAGTTGATATTCTTGACCATATTTATCCTTAACATATTGAGTTCCCTTCGAGGTGAAATCAACAAAATCTTGCCATAGGGTCATTCGTATGAGAACATGCCTGTCCCTCAAAAATCCAATACTACATTCTCCTTTAATACCACATTGCATTGGCACAATGCGACGAATCTCATTAAGTTCTGGCCAACCATACGCAAATTTTGCAAATACTGCGTATTGTAGTCCCTCGATCACATTCATTCTATCAACTTCTGCCTCTGTAAACTTTACCACTGGTTGTCCATTCACTATCTCAGCTCGTCTTAATGGAATTGGATCGACTGAAGGTTTACGTTCTTGCATGGCACTGTTCATGGCAGTAGGTTTAAGGATTTTCGAGAAGTCTAGGGGCTGGGTATTGTTGTTTGTGGTAGTGGGAGGCTGGGCGCTGGTGGGGAGAGGCTGACCAGCCGGAGAAGAGGGCTGGCCGCCGGCAAGATTGGCCATGGCAGCTGATCGTGCGAACTTTCTCTCTCTAGAAGAAAAAAAATCGCCAGAGCCTCTCTCTCTAGACTCCAACTCTAGTTTAGGCTTAGGGCTTCTTCTACTCACATTTTTTTAGCAAATCCACTAGGCAGGTGCCTAGGGCTAGTTTTATTAATAACTAAAAAGAAAAAACGAACCACATAGGAAGAGTACAAATAAGGGGGACAATAGCAGCAGTAGTGTTGCCTCTATGCCTTGGCTATATAATTACTCCTCTGCGCCTCACATTGCCCTTACGACAGCCTCATGTAGAGGATTTATGGAGTAGCTGTCGGCAAAGTCTCACGAGGGCATATAATCTCATAGCCATTTGGATATCTTTCCAAAGGCATAGGACTAGAGCAACAGAAACTGGGCTAAACCTTACCTTACTAATCCTATTGAGGCAAACAAAAAGCCTCACCTACTAACAAGCATGTAAAAAGAAAGAACTAGCTAACACTAGATATTCTATGATCATCACAGAGTTTATAACATACTCTGTGATGATATTACATAAAACTATGCTAATGTGATGGTAGAATAGGGATATGAAGAAATAACAGTGATGACCTTTGTTCTCTAATTTTGTGTAGTCTTCAACTTGTAGACACTTGTCTTCTTCCTCAACCCTTTTCAAGATGTCTTCAAAATTCATCATTTTTTCTTTGAGCGATTGGACTTTGTGGATGTAGTTTGAGTGGCCTGTTTTTGTTTTGCAATTCTCATTGGGAGTCTCCTTATGTGTGCATCTTCATTTACCCTGCCGTCCCAACTTTTTTCCCTTGTACGACTCTTCTTACTTTTTCCGCTATGCATAGGTGATAAATCACCTTTTCTTGCTGCCTCTGCTCTACATTGTTGTAACATTTCATCTTCCTCTCCGTCTTCATATAAGTCTCTCCCCAGGTGCACTGGTTGTGGAACATTTTGGTCGATACCAATTGTCTCCAGTGCAGATTGACCTTATGTATTTGTCACCATTGTCTTGCTTTGATGTTGTTCTATTTTTTGCAATTTGTTCCTGTTCTTGCTCAACAGACCAGCGCTAGAAGCAGTAGGATTTACAGGATTTAAGGGATTAGAACTCACCATTGCATCCAAGAGTCTTCTTTCCTCTTTTGAAATATCTGGGACAGTTGTAACAATTTGGTTCTGTCCAGAATTTGTTGTTGTAATTTCTCGATCCCCTAGATGAGTCGCGGCTGGAATATCCTGACATGTAGGTGTTATTGCAGGAATACTTGTTGTCATAATTTGGACCTACCCGAATTTTGATGTTTCTGTTTTTGTTCGTTCACCAGTAGGAGTAACATTTGAGGTGTTGGGATTAATTTGCTGCTGCTGCACAGTAGTTATAGCAGCTACTGCATTTTGAATAGCTAGAGATGAAGGATTTCTGGGAATGAATGAAGGGGCATTGGAGTTCAAATTGCTCATTGGACTTGCTGCTGTTACTCGATCAGATTTTACCATCGCTAAGGAATCAATTTCCTCACCTGCACTATCAGGTATAACCTCATGATCAGCCTCTTCTGATGAATAACCTGCAAAACCATCACCCCAATCCACTTCCTCATCCTCCTCACGCTGACCTTGCCACAACTTGGGGTTGATGGCCATCAACCTCACATTTGCCTGTATAACCTCATTGTTATTCCCTGTTGACCTCATAGGCTTCCCAGATTCACCTTCAAATGCTCCAAAAGATGACTGTGAAGGGACGTCAAATACGGATGTGTTTAAGGTGACCAAAGGTTGTTTAACCATGATATTACTCATCATCATTTCTTTTTGAGTGTCTTTGATTATTTGTTCAACTTGGGGACTGGAAAAGTGCAAAGTAGGAGCATTGGAACTATGAGCTTGGCTGCCCTTTATTTCAATCCCCAACTTACTCTTTGAAGCATTTAGTCGAACATTCAAATTTTCTTCCAACTCGACATTGTCTTGCCCTCCTCGTTCATTACTGGCCATTGGAACTAGTTGTTTGGATATCACATTATCATTTGTACCAGTTGCATGACGTCCAATATCCCAATCAGCTGCAAGAATCTCAAAGGAATTTACATTGGACACAATGTTACTGTCCTTTGATCGAACACCTTGGGACTGTTTTTTTGGTGACTGCCCTTTCTTTGATGGAGATTTCCTGGGGGTTACCATGTTCCAAACTTCTCCTTTTTTGTTTTGATCAGTGCCCTTATCATCAAACATTAGATTACCAGTCTTGTCTTCCATTACCTCGCCCTTATTTTTCCTGGCTTCTCCTCCAAAAACCTGGGCCTCACCATAATTACAGTCCACTGGTACTGCAGTATGCCTAGTTATTTTACTGCATATATTTTGTACCTCTCCTTCTGTTTCAATCCGTGAAGTCTTAAGACCTGAAATCTACCCCATATCTCTTTGATCCTTAGTCTTAAATAGCATAGACTCATCAGCTCGATCAATAGGCTCCATTAAATTTGCTGCAGCTGATGCAACAATTGCAACTGATTGCAGATTATCAGATGTTTGCACAGGTGGATTAACATCCTTGACACTTGGAGGATTGACATTATTTAATACCCCATTATTTTTCTGTTGT